CTATGAATAGTGCATTTAAGGTCATTTCCTGCGCCATAACGAATTGATTATAATGATGTACAACTAGAGAAAATAAAATGCAAACAGAGAGCACGGAACAACAACCCAGGCACAGATGAGTATCGGTTCAAGTTGCCATACTGCATTAGCACAACAAGATGAACATCGAATACATAGAAGTAGTTAATTTAATAGTGAGAATCTATAAAAGAAAGATTGCATATAAGAACATAGTACAAGAAGAAAGAATTAGTACGTAGAAAGATATGAAGCTATTTTAATCTCATCGTTTAGGGGAAGACAAAGAGTGTATACACCTACACCATTGTGATCGATTCTGAGCCATGTCACCAAGATTCTCCAATCACTGTTTACGATGGTCACACAGTAATGAAAACGATTAAACATTCCAAGTCCCTATATTCTCACTTAGGGAATATGATATACCATTTTCAGAGAAAAAAATAATTACCGATAGAGAAAAAAAGGATGGGAATGATTTTATCTTATAGATAGATTGTGGAAGATCATTTCAGTGTCTGGAAATTTTACTGGTAATATTGGAAATAAAACAGCTATCATATCCAGGATTAAAAACCGTTAACTAATTGAGGTTTAAGATATCAGCTTAATAATTTAAAGCTTAAGCAATCTTTTTATTTATAAGCATTGGATCCTACCCTTTGTGTTATTATCTTACATATTTACTTGTACCCCATCTGGAATTCATTTAAAATGAATTAGTAAAGCTTGTGTATTCGATGCTTATCTACATTCGAACTCTGTTCTATCTAACTACTATATTGTCACTAGTCATTATCCTCAATAGTACAGTTCATAATCAAGTATAGATTTACTTTTAATTACTAATCCAATTAAAGAGGACAATACAGATTGAATCTTTGAAATGGTGTTCTTATCGATTATTTTAATGTAATAAGATCGATGAATTTTGTTTTAACATTCAATTATCTACTTCCGGTAAATCCATTACAAATAAACAACTCAATAGATGAACACATTTGAGTTGTTTAACCTTAACTTCATATTTAAATTTATTTTATATTTCATACATCCCCTATCAGAACTTTTATTGAATACTGGTATCAACTAAAATTGACTGATGTATTCTTCTTTCCTACTCTAATACTTTTGAAACATAATCCATAAGATGGTGGTTGGAGGTAGTCGACAGGAAACCCTGGACTCGGGTTTCGTGTTACTTGGCACTCGTCAGCAATGTGTACTCGGAATCTTGAGAGAACTGGTGCTCCCTGACACATTCGATCCCGTATCACCCAGCTTCACAATCAGAGACGTTACCACTGGGATATCCGGGCCGAGACCAACCTCCTGTAGGACTGAGATGTAATCATGATTGATTGATCACTGGGTGGTGATCAATGTCATGGGTGTCAAGTCCTTATTATTAGTGCAGATGGAATGCTATCGACCATGATGCAATGTGGCCACCAGTCCAGGTGACTCGACACCGCCAAGGAGCACCAGTTCCCTCAAGATTACAGGCATACCTTGCTGACGAGTGCCAAGTAGGACGAAACCCGGGTTCAGGGTTTCCTGTTGACTACCTCCAACCACCATCTAATCTCATTATATGGTGCCTGCAGTGTCGAGTCACCTAGACTGTTGGCCACATTGCAACATGATAGATAGCATTCGGTCTGCACCAATAAGGACTGGACATGTATGACATTGATCACCACCCAGTGATCAATCAATTGTGATAAAATCCATAAGTTTTGTTCAGTCTATAATGTATGTACAATTTCCAATTGAGAGACTTGAAGTAGCTTCAGCAAGTGAGCACCTTAGTCTCTTTAGAAGTAATTGTGTTATTGCATAACATATTCACTTATATTGATTGTCTAGAAATGATCATTCAATATATCATAATACACAATAGTTTAGTGCTCAAAATTAAGAATGTATATTACATAACGGTTTATTTATTTATTTATTTGAACACAGAAATATTGGTACACAGAGGCACCGGATACATATGTGCCACACAAGTCAGTTGATTTGTGTGTGAGATGTGATGCTGCCCGGGTGCCCAGACCGAACCAGGTGGTTCTCTCAGGAGGCCACACTCGGAGCCTTCAACCTAAAGGTCCGATCCACAAAGCAGTGGAACAACGTGAGGAGATGCATTCCCATAGTAGCCGGTGACTAACAAGTGGTCAGTACAACATGTGTCCCCTCAGGATCCTAGAGTCCATGTGCACCACTTATCGGCTTAGAATACGCAGATGACATAGTCCTGTTTGGTGAAGACGCTGATAAAATGAAGTGTCTTTTGGTAGCACTCATCAACAATACCAGGATGTTTGGGATGCGTTTCTCTCCCTCTAAATGCAAGTTGTTGCTTCAGGACTGGTCTGCGTCAACACCTGAACTAAGGATAGGGAGTGAAGTAGTCGAACGCGTTGACAACTTCACTTATGTTGGAAGTCTGATCAGCCCTAATGGGTTGGTGTCTGACGAAATCTCAGCATGGATTCGAAAATCTCGTTTGGCTTTTGCCAACTTACGTCACCTTTGGCGAATGAGAGATATCCGTCTATCAATAAAAGGACAAGTGTACTGCGTGGCAGTTTGTTCCGTTCTACTTTAAGGCCGCAGAAAATGGCCATTAAGAGTAGAAGATACTCGTAAGCTACTTGTATTTGACCACAGATGCCTCAGAAATATTGCTGGCGTCTGCTGAGATCACCGGGTAAGTAATAGTGAGGTTGGACGCAGGGTATTAGGGAATGATGGTAAATCAGTTGATGAGGTTGTGAATCTTCATCGACTGAGATGGTTGGGACACGTGTTACGTACGTCCGAACATTGATTACCACGACGTGCAATGCTAACCTGTATTGGAGATGGTTGGAAGAAAGTTAGGGGCGGCCAAACCAAAACGTGGCATCAGTGCTTGAAATCACTAACTTCTAGTCTGAGCCATGTTGGTAGATGCAGACTACTTGGTTGGGGTCCGCGTGACTATCGTAACCAATGGTTGGAGACTCTTGGTGACATGGCTCAGAATCGATCACTATGGCGTCGGTGTATACACTCTCTGTCGTCCCTTAAACTAAGAGATTAAAATTGCTTCATATCTTTCTTTCTACCAACTAATTCTTTCTTCCTGTACTATATCCTTATTGCAATCTTTCTTTTATATATTACCACCTCTGAATTAACTACTTTTATGAATCCTGTGTCCATCTTGTTGTGTTAATGCAGTATGGCAACTTGGACCGATGCATACATGTGCCTGGTCCTACGTTGTAGCTGACTGATTGACTGACCTCCCCTAGGTGGATCCTGCGTACCAACCAATCCGGTTAAAGTGCCGGTCATTTTCTTTCCGTCCTCTCAATTTCGTAGGCAACACGCCTATTGTACATGGATAAGGGGAATCGACAGTAAACTTTGTTTGTTGATAAATAGAGGATATCTTGTAATCGTCATACTGACATCAGAACTTATAGTATTTACTAAGCAACTTAGGTAAGGTAAGGAGAGAAGAAATTGAGTCACTTCCACGATTACAGCATCTCAGTTAATTAGCTCAGAGATCATTTAGCGATCATAATAATAAGTTAGTGGTCAGTAATAACGAAAAGCCTGACATAAGTGAGCGTCAGATCAAGGTGTCACATCATATCAGAACGGTGAGGTTAACTAAGAGAGTAGATTTGGTAGATACTCAAAGCAAGGAAATATAGCACAGATTACCATCCAGTGACCAATTATTATGAATACCGCCTTTTTCGCTTTTCGTCCTCTCAATTTTGTAGACAACAGTGATGCTACAAGAAGGCGGTGAGTAGGACTTCCCTGTCAGTGGCTATATGCAGGTAAGCATGTGAGAGCATTTCGAGAGGGAGAGTTGACTCTCCCCACTCTCGGCCGTACCAAGGCATTTGGGGTCTAGACGTTAGGCATTCGCGCGCTTGACTGAAGTTTATAGGTTCGATTCCTGAGTGTGGGATTGTGAATGAGCACCGCTGAGCAGTCCCATACTAAGAAGATACGACCGTCCAATGCTTCCGGGTTTTCCATCGATGGTCTAGCTTCAATTGACTCATGAATTCAACTATTTAATTTCCTATAATATCCATAAAACCCCTTTCTGATGATTTCAGTATTTTCACAGATTGAAATCATGAGTCAATTGAAGCTAGACCACCATGGAAAACCTGGATGCACTGGACGGCCGTCTCGACCCAGTACGGGACTCCGCAGCTGTGTGCATCCACGATCCCGCACCCCATGGGACTCGAACTCAGAACCTACTGGCTTCGCGTGCGAACACTTAACCATTACACCACTGAGTCGGCATCCAACGGTGTTAATGTCTAACTTCAACCAATCCACAAAGTTGCGCCACGGTATACCATTGTTTTCAGTGAGCTGATATCTCACAACAGACCTGGTTGAACTCCATTGGTAACGGCTTCCCACTAGAACTCCAGGAGTATCTCTTGAAGTCGAAACGGCCGTCCAGTGCTTCCAGGTTTTCCATAGTGGTCTAGCTTCAACTGACTCATGATTTCAATCTGTGAAAATTTCTAAAATCTCCACAAACCCCTCCTGATAATTTCAGTATTTATAAATGATTCAAAAAAAAATCATTACTAATTTATTATCTTGTATCTACGTACAATGATTCTATTTCATCGATATTTATTATCTATAATACACATGCAACTTATTGATATGTAGGTCATAAGATGATTGGAATCTCATGGAAACTGTTTACTTTACATCTGAATCATATAAAAATACTTTCAAGGTTATTTATACATACACAGAAATACAAATACACCCTAGAATCATACGATTTTCTAAGTAAACAAAATCATTAAGAGATTTTTTTCTGTAATAGATTACACGTGTACATGTGTATCTATTCACCTATTATGGCTAAATTATGATTAATTGTTTCTTCTTCTTCTTCTTCTTCTTCTTCTTCTTTATTTCCATAGTCAGAATAGAAGACTGAGTCGGTGATTATGTTTGGAATGACAACAAAAACTTTACAATAAAAATCATTCAGCTCAAAGAATCTTTAACAGGGATTTATGATTCTTATCATTTAGCTTACTTATATAAATGATGCATTTGATGATGTTCATATACAAATAATGTTGCAGAGAATAATAATGTATTTTGATTAATACAATTAACGAACCAACTTCATATGTAACTTTGATGTAGTATATGGAAATGAAATGGCAATGTACTAGGAAAATAGTTTGTTATAAATATCTTTGGTTACTTACTCCTGTTAACACTTGTGAAGGAGCATAGGCTGCCAACCCCTATTCGCCACCGAATTCCGTCCTAGACGATATTTTCCAATTTTTATTCTTCCTATTCATGTCTGCTTCCAGTTCATGATTCAATATGTTTTAGTTTTCCTTTAATCTTCAGCAATCTAAGTTAGGATCAGATTCATGATACAGTTTGATGATTTTATCAATGTGTTTTCTATGCAGTTCCAACATCTTTTCCTAATTTCCTCCTCATTTGAAAGCTGGTTTGTTCTCTACAATATTAGACTGTTGTTGATAGTATCCGGTAAAAGGAGATTGAGTACCATGTGACTGCATCTCCTGACGTTGTTCCACTGGCATGTGGATCAATACGTTGAAGATTGATTCGCAACCATGAAAACTATTGTTTTGTGTTGTGGTTCGAACACAAGATTTATTGATCTCGCGCACAAACGCTTAACATCTTGTCCACTGAGCCGATATTCGACGGTGTTAATGTCTAAATTCAAACAATTCATGAAGTTCAATTTTTAGGTGTTTGATTCTATTTCCCGATGTAGTGTGTTCCTTGGTCTTCCACTTTTCCGTTTCCCGTCAGGATTCCAAGTTGGCGATTGACTCGTGATATACTTTGGTGTCCTGCGTCATTTCCTAATTTCTTCCTCAAATGGAAGCTGGTTTGTTCTCTCCAACATTAGACTGTTGCTGATAGTAACCGGTAAAAGGACATTGAGTACTTTGTGTAGACGATCGTTCATAAATACTCGCACATTTTTGATGATGGTTGTACTAGTTCTCGAAGTTTCAGTTCCGTATAGTAGTGTAGTGAACAGAACACGGGTGGGGACAATGGAATGTATTTAACACAAAATTACGGGACTTGTTAAGAAAATCTAACAATCATAAGGTAAATGCTTAATTTTGCAAAATTTCCACCAATTGTCTCATAATGACTCAGACTTCATTGTTCTTGCATTTTCATACAAATTGAATCCTTTTTCCATTCTTTAGTGTTCGATCTTCTTGTCTCCTTGCTGCTAGACCTTCTGTTCACGGCTAACATCATCTACTACTTGTGTCAATATATGTACCACACACCACAGTAGAACTGTGATGACGTTCGTAATGAAGATTCTCACTTCCATATTGGTTCACAGATAGTTGTTTTGAGTTGCATATATTCATCAACTGTAGAAATGCTACCCTTACTTCGCCAATCCCTGTCCTCACATCTGCGTCGAATCCTCCTTGTTGATCGATGATGCTACCCAGATACGTGAATTTTTCCACCTCTTACTGAGTTTCTCCATCAAGTATGAATGGGTTATTGTTCTCCGTGATGTATTTCAGGATCTTTGTTTTTCCCTTGTGTATGTTGAAGCCTACTGATACGGGGGCTTCTACTACACTGATTGTCTTCACCTGCATATGTTGACGTGTATGGGGTGGAGGAGCTTAGTGATGTCTGAAGTCCAAATCGCCTAATCACACGCAAGCCGTCCACTATATTCTGTGCTTCCCTTGATATCTGAGGATGCTGAGAATTCTATATTGTGCCCAAACTATAATATTGAATAGAGCGTTTAATAATAATAATAATAATAATAATAATAATAATAATAATAATAATAATAATAATAATAGAACAAAGAGAAGGGGGGAGGAGACAGCCTTGTCTGACTCTGGTCCTCACTTCAAATGTGTCTATCAACTATCCACCATGCATCAATATGCACTGTAGTCCGTCGTATCAATTCCGGATGATGTTGACGATTTTTTCAGCTTCTCATACCATAGTGTTGAAGAAGTTTCCATAATGTTCTCCTATCTATACGGTCAGATGCTTTCTCATAATCAATGAAGTTGATGTATAGTGACGAGTTTCATTCAACTGATTGTTCAACGATGATCTGTAGTGATGTGATTTAGTTTGTGCACGACCGATGCTTACGGAATCCAGCCTGTTGATCTCGACAATGGACGTCTACTGAGTCTTTCATTCGATTCAGCAACAATCACTTGAAAACTGTACCTGGTACTGACAATAATGTGATGTCTCTGAGGTTCTTACATTTGTTCAGATCTTGTTTCTTTGATATTTTCATGAGGCATCCTTCTTTCCAGTCTGTCTGTGTCACTTCAAACGTTAAAACTCCATCAACTAAACGAATAGAAGTTAATCAAATAATACAAATGAAACCCATGATGATAATCAATCAGAAACAAGACCATCAAAATGAATTTATTCATATCTTGGGAAATAACTGCATGTCTCACTATGACGTAAATTACATACTGATAACATTGTTCAGAATGAAAATGAAAACTGTACAATGAAATGATCTAGCACAGAAAACTCGATAGCAACAAAATTATCAGCTCTCTCTCTCTCACTGTATCTGGGTAGGCATAACAACTGCCAATTTTCAATTAACTAACGTGTTAAAATCACGCGCTCAGTTTCCTGCTTAGTCAATAATAATGTTTTCTTAACACAAAAATCTTTTCATGTCAATCATAAATTGTATTTCATCAAATTTTTCTTATGAATTAGTATATTTAACTCATTTATAATATGCCTATCAAATTACCACGTAAACACTGATGTTAAATTTCGCGCCATCATAAAATAACACAAATCTAAGTAAATAAACTCAACTGTCATATAATAAGCTTATAAAAAATCGATAAGTATTATAAATTGGACAGTGAACAAATAAATTCAGTTCACCTACCTGCATCCCAGTGTTGATGTCCACTCCGGGATTCGAACCCAGTACCGTTCGCTACAAACGCCATAGTATCCCAGAGTGAACATCAAATCTCAGATGCAGGTATATCCAGCTGACGAATTCCAAGTAGGATGAAACACGTGTCAAACTAGATTCCACTAATAGCCACTATCCATCTTTGCATATAATGCTTATGAATGAGGACAATATCGAGGCAATCCACACAGCATACGCATATGCCAATAAGAGATTGATCAATTTCAGACCTAAACATTAATAAGAAGATCCAATAAAAACAATACGAAGTGAATTCAGTTTATGTACTTATGAAAAGACGACGTACATTAGCTTAGACTGTATTGATCCGTATTCATGGTAACAGCTTAAATACGTTCGACATTTACATGTAACTTCATGCTGTTGGACACAGATTACTCCATTTTGTTTTTAGTATTCATTCAATAATTGAATTTATGAGTTAATTGATTCTAGACCACCATGGAAAATTCGGAAGCACTGAAAGGCTGTTTAATTCTAATATGGGACACAGCAGTACGCATCCACGATCCCATCCCACGAGATTCGAACCCAGGACCTATTAGTCTCGCTTAACCTCTAGACCATTGAGCCGGCATCCAACAATGTGAATGCCCATCTTTAACTGATCCAATTCGAATGATTACATCTGAATCAAGAAAATTATTTCCAAACTTTTAAGTAGAAAACTTAAAAATAATAATGAATGGCTTCTATCATATAAAAAAGCACACAAAAGAAATACCTTTATTATCATCTTCTGGCAAAAATGAAAATTACAAATGTATCAAGTATCCATTAGTTTATGTGAAAACCAATGTTATATGCAACACGTGAACTAATCAGTTTCTATTTCAATTCACATTGGTTACAATAAAAACTCGAAGATAAATCATTTTATTTCATGATTCATAGAATACTGAGTAAGTTGAATGATGTATGAATGTTAAGATAGTGAAGATTTATAATTCAGGTGGATGATTTTGATGACGTTTTTGTTCTCTCAGCTGGATGATTTGGTCATGGAGCTTTCATTGTTTCGCTGAATGACATCATCAGCAGAAGTTCCACAACTAAACCATCTAGCTCAAAGAACAAAACTCTATCAAAATAAATGTTAGAATTGATTATTACACAAAGAAGTTCTGTAAATCGATATGTGATGATAAGAATGGATCTTCTATCATTTCATTTCTGTAACTATTCAGAGAAGTTTGTGAAAGCTTATCATTTATCAAGCCCATATAGACTATTCTAACTTCTAGACAAATCAATTTATTCATTCTTCTAAAGGTACATTTTCAACTTGTTGATTATTCGCTTGTTAATCGTGATCGTTTTACATATGATCGTATGTGAGTTGATTGCTCACCATCAAGTGTCTGTAACTTATTTTCGTCTGAATTGAAAAATATTGAGTCTAGAGTCTTTATCAGTCCTTTTCTCTGCCTGTTGCATCCAGAACTCCAATCTCAGTCTCTACAATATGAATCATGTATTTCAAATGTACTGGGTTTATATACATCAGCCAAACAGACCACATCGCACCACAAAAAATAGAAAATAACATTTGTACCAAGATCTAGCCAAAAGTGGCTGTGAATGTGGGAGATAGTAATTGATAGACTGGGTATAACTCAAGAATGGTAAATCGTATAATAATAGTCTATGGATTAAAATAAAGTGAAACATGAACATGTTTAGTTTAGTTATTTAACAATTATACAATAAGAATGTATGTATCGTATTGGTCCATAAATAGATCCCAACAGTTTCCATTCATAATTCTAGTCGGAATATAACATGATCTACAGTGTGAGCACTTGTCTATCAAAGAGAAATTTTTTTCAGTAGCTGCCTCATCAGTCCCATATTACGATTGTAAGACATTGTATTGAAACCATGAGGTTCCTTTTAATTGATCTTGATTTAATGGATACACAAATATAATTATTCTAGTATTTAACAAATACAGAACGAAAATAGTGCGACTGTAGTTTATGATCAACCTTTCAGAGATTCTAAAGTGATTACAAGGAAATTCACCTGTTTATTATGATCCATAGAAATCGATAAATTAGTGTGAGAATTTGGATTTACAGTTAAAATTTAGGGTTAAGAGTTCAATTTATTGATGGTGGAGAAGATTTGTAGCTCAGGTGAATGATTTCGATGGAGTTTTGTTCTCTGAGCTGGATGGTTTGGTCGTGTACATGTACTGTTTTCCCTCCACTTTGCTCAGCTGATCACCATCCCATTGGGTAGTTGATTGGAAGTCTATATCTTACTCTTTATGTTAGAACATGCTGACGAATACACTTGTGGAGAAAATACAGTTGTTCTCCATTAGAACCCTGTTCTTTAGGGGCGAAATTCTCTCATTTTTGAACAACGAACAACACGACCGAACCATCCAGCTCAGAGAACAAACCCCCATCAAAAATTTAATTTAGTGTTTTCACCACAAAGTGATGCTAGTTATGATGTAAACATGCATTTAAGTCATATGAATGAATGAACTTCACGCCACAATCCAAAACTGACTATCTTAAATCTCATTAGTTCATCCGTAAATT